TTACATCGCTTCTTGTCAATGATTGCCAGTGCGGCAGGCTTCGGTCTCCTCGCCAACAAAGTTGTCATGATGATTGTCTGGGGCTTTGTTGGTTGGATGGATGGCTTTTAATGTAGCATCATGCATTGAATGGTCACAAGGTTGCGCTTGGAACAAAAATTCCTGGAATATGGATGGGTCTTGCCGTTTATCAGTTACACCACTGTTGGCCTCTGGCGATTTTACACCAACTGCCCGAAGTCATGTTTACGTAGACATCACCATCTTTTCACTTTCATCCTCCTTGGGCTTATGTGTCTCCTCTCTGCATTTTTGACTAGAGATGGTCGCTCTCCATGGTGTATTTTTCCCTAGATCTGGGTGGAAGAATTGGCAAGAGACTCAAATATGTTGGTATTCTGCGCCCTTGATAGGATGTCTGCATTTGGACCCTACGGTCCGAATTTTGATAGGCAGAGAGACCAAGGATCACCGTTGTCTGTCAGTGCAGCATGTTGGAGAAATTAGGAACCGGAGGTCCTGCCTTGCCGGACAACCTCCACATCTTTCAACCTTTACGGAAAGACTCGGATTTCAATGTTGTAAGATGGGTCATTGCGACTATGACCAAGTTGATTTGATTGAATTGAAAGCAAAGACCGACATGTAGGAAAGCGACTACTATCGCTGCCATGGCTGTCATTTCAAGGGGCCCGATTTCTCAAAGCTGGGAGTCATAGAGCAGTAAAGATGGACCCTCGTAGTTTCTGGGCAACCAAAGGTATGTTCGGAACAACAACAATCTTTATTAGCATGCATGTGCATTTCAAGTTGAAGAATGAAAGTGGGCCTGCCGGTGCACTGTGTCCAATACATGGACGTAGCTCCGCTGGTGGGCGCATCTAGCTAGCTCCTCGTCGTAACATTTTCACCAGGAGGACACGCCACGCGCCCACAAACGGGACCTATGGTTGGACCCACCGTACCGGAACGCAAACAGCACTAGCTGTCCCGACATATGGCTATGATATCGTTGACAGTGGGACTTTCGAAACCCAATGCGCTCGATGCTTCATGACATCGAACTAACTGACTGCTGGCTGTCTGGCTTCGTTGTGTCCAATTGACGTCCTCCGCCACGAGTGGCTCGTAGTGTTGGATAACTCTGACTAGTAGCCACAGTACCTGGTAAGCTAACTAAGCTATTAAAATAAATAAATTTTATTGTTACAGTTCTGGTTGCGACGTTACGGTGGTTGCTCTGCCCCGCCTATTTTCACCGCAGAAGAACCGATTTGACAAGATGTTGCGGCTACAGAAGAATCCCCGTGTGTCTCCAATAACTCCTGGTAGACCGTTTGTATGTCTATCATTCCTGCTGTTACTACTCGAGGTTGCGAAATGCCAAGAAGAAGAGCCGGACGAGAAAACAACCGAATATCGTGTGGTGGTGGCCGTGCTGAGTCTGGTGATGACAGTCTCCTTTTGCGTGGTGATTTGGACTTCCATTCCCCTGTTGTATTTGCAAGAGCGCTGCACGGTATGCTGTCATGCCCTGTCTCAATGGCGGATCTGTCAGTGCTGCTGCCGTTTCCTTGTCGTAGTTGGTGGCACCCGAAAGAAGAAGAAGAAGAGGAAACGACTACCGGACGCCGCCATGGACGTGCCATCACCAGGGGAGACTCCTGACACCACCATAAGCAGTGAATTGGAGTCGCATTGCTGATGACAAAACGTACAGCAAGTTTGGTGGAATTTTAAAAATCACCTTGTTCAATTAATTAAAAGGGGGGAACAGCTGTTATCTAGTAACTAAAGATAGATGCCTACAGCCGTTGTATTCAGAACCTTTCAGTCCGGTTGCTATTACAATACTACCGTATTCTTTAGAAAGGTAAGCTCATGGGGCTCAAAAATTGAGTCAAGGTTCGTCCCACACTTTTTCAGAACCACCCAAGAGGTGCATATGGCAGTACAGCAGGATTCCTGTTGGTGGAGAATGGAGTGACTCCATCAATGGGGAACATCCAGTGCCTGCATATCTCAGTCGAGCCTCGTCTACAACAAAAGTGAGTACAGTAGTTTTTGGCTCAACGTCATTCCAGCATCTCTCTTGAGTGTTGATTGATTGATTGTGTTTCGGGATTGCATATTGTGGGTGGAGTACCATGATGCTTGTTGTCGCATTACTTGTACCGTACAAATGTCTGTTTGTGTGTTTTTGTTTTACAACTCTGTCTTGCGTTGTGCTAGAACCGCCTTCATGAGTATCAGGTCACCAGAGCCGAGTTGCTTCTTGTCGGCATCTCTCTGTGCCGTGGCAGTTTCGTATTGCGTTTCAAGATCTGCCACTGCCGTCTGGAAGTCGCGTTCGAGTTTATTGACTTCTTCCAATTTGTCATCCATTTCCTTGTCGAGTGCCGTGACTGACAATTTCTGCAACCGCCGAATTTCTCGGCGTGTGGTTTTATCGCAGAGCTGCATATGGGTGGGACTGCACTGCGGCTTCAAATTCTTGTCGGCAAATTTTTTGAGATTCTCAAAATCACGAGGACCTCCGTATTCTTGCAGATCAAAGACACTGCCCCACTTGAGTGTGGGAAATCCCGTGACATCTTCACTTGCGCACAGTTCTCGGGCATTGTCGTCGGTACAATCGACTTCCCCAATCAATTTCGACTTGGAATTCGCAAACACGTCGCCCAGATCGTCCCACGCATCCTCCATTGAAATACAGTGGCCTCACCTTGGTGAATATAATATAGTCACGAAAGCATAACATGGGATAGAAGGAATCGAATCAGATGGACATTTAGAGACACCAGCTACTATACTATACGGTATCTTACATTGGATCATAGAACTTTAGAAAGACAATTTTGTTGGTTGTCAATTCTTCGTAGTTATCATTGTTTAGTTCTACGCCATTCACAACTGTCGGCGCAATGGCGGACAGCACGAACAAGAAGGAAGCAAACGTAGCCGCTCGTCTCATCATCATGGTGATTGTTGTGCCTTTCAAGACAAGAGAGGGAAAATGGGAAAATGGGGAAAGAGAGAAAACGGCGGATTCGTGAGCTCTAGCTTTAACCCTAAACCTACGGGTGAGACCGTTAGAGCAATGCCAATGAAGCCACAAAACGAAGCTGCTTGCACTCTCTCATCTTTCTTCTTTTATGTTGTTGTTTCTACTTTGATCACTGCTTCCTAGCTACCGGTAGCTTGCTCATTCTTTTTGAATAACAGATATATCAAAGATTCGCCAATGAATACAATAACAGCCTCTCAAGCCTGGGCCATTCTGAAGCGACATGGACGTGATGAAATAGCGACATTGCGATTGGAAGATTTGTGCCATGACAAGGAACGTGTCTCGTCGTTGGTGGTGGTCCACAACTCGGCAACGCCCGTGTCAGGGGAAGGAGGCAATCACAATGGCATGATCTTGATTGACTTGTCTCGACAGCGCATGACGCTGGAGACCTTGAATCATTTACTACGACTCAGTGTCACCAGAGGCATTCGACAGTACATTACTCGATTGGCATGGGGACAGAATAATCCCGATGCTCCTCTTCATCAGACCAATACACATCATCCATCGGATGCATCAGAAGACAATCCTCCAGAAGAAGGGGGTCCATTCTCTCTACTTCTCATGTCCCCTATCAACATTACCAGCACCCAAACAACAACAACCATCCAAACAATAATAGTAGTAGTAGTGCTAGTAGTAGACACGGCAATACCAGTAAACACGCCAACAACAACAACAACCACCACGCCAAACAACAACAACAACAACAACACAATCCAACAAAACCACAACACAATCAAGCAGATATTTTTCCAGACGTCATGCCATCGATGCACTTGGCCCTGCGAGCTCCCAAAGACCAAGGATTGCACATGCTCACATACGATGGTGTCAATGCGCTCACGGGCATTCATCGAGAATGGGATCGTCTCGAACGACTCTGCAATTCCATTCGAAGAGGGGCTTGGAGAGGTGTCACGGGACACATGATTCGTAATGTCGTCGTTATTGGAAAAGGCGTTGCCATTCAAGCACTCCAATTCGTACAGGCAGCTCTGCTGCAGGATGAAACGGCAATCATGGCCAGTCGATTTGGATTGGACAATAGTTCGAGCGCCATGGCAGCAGCTACCAAAGACTGGAGTGGTCGATTGCTTCAAGTTCGTCGAAGTGCGGGTACTACTTCTACTACGAATACTCCTCATGCTAATGTCCGACCCCGCAAAATGGTCTTTCTCACGTCGGTCGATCCATTGGCGGCGGCATCGTTGGTGGCGGAATTGGATGCCGCGAGTACCATGGTGATTAGTTTTGCATTGCAGGGGAATGAAGAAACCGGATTGGCCACGGCGACTTTGAAATCGTGGCTGCTGCAACAATTGGCACCCAAAAAGGTCGACAGTGTACTCAGCAAACACATGTTGCTGATTACGGGAAATGATCAGATTGCCACGACCATTAACAAACCGGAATCGGTCTTTCTCATACCCGAGCATTCCCGATGCGAAGCATTCACGTCGTTCTCGGCGGCTACATTGTTGGTAAGTATGCATGGCTTGTTTGGATCTGCTCATCAAAAAACTGGTCTTTGAAACACTCAATCTCTCGCTTGCACACATTATCTTTGGATCTTTTTTTTCTTCACATCCATGATGCAGCCACTCTCCATTGTGTACGGATGGTCCATTTGTGAACATTTCCTCACGGGAGCTCATGACATGGATTGCCACTTTGTGGAAACCAATCCAAGGCACAATCTGCCCGTCTTGCTGGCACTCACGGATGTGTGGAATGACACGTTTTTTGGAGCGGCGTCGTCGGGGCGGATTGTGACTCCCTTTACCCGCTCCATGAATGGATTTCCTGCCTTTGTCGCCGCACTGGAAGCACAAGCATGCAGTAGCAACAACCACCACACGAACAATCAACTGTCGTCGCATCTGGCCACCAATCCTCGTCCTGCTTGCTCGTCCCTGGTGTTGGATGGAGGAAGTGACAGTGCCTACGATCGAGCACTGTACCAGTCTTCCAAGATTCAGTATTCCGAACTGGTCATGGTGATGAACACGCAACTCAAGGCCAACACGGCGCGGAATCTTGGAGCTCAAGGAATGGAAGATGTCTTTGCTCATGCAGATGCCCTCGTGTGTTCCCTCTTTGGCCATGCCGATGAAATGGCATTTGGTGGCGGAGCCAAGGAAGACTCTTGGAACAACAATGACAATAATGGTGCTGCCAGTACGACCGGCAGTGAGGCATATGCCAACCAGCCCGTGCTGCCAAAACACTACTTTCAACAGCAAGAGCATCTCCTCCGTCAACAGCAGCAAAACAACAGCCACAACCAGCAGCAGCCGCTGTCTTCGCAAGGAAACCGCCCCAGCACTCTGTTGATTTGCGGAAAACTGGATGCGTACGCCTGTGGACAGCTCATTGCGCTGTCGGAGCATCGGGCGGCCATCAAAGCTAGGATCTGGGACATTGACCCCTTTACGCGGGAAGCGGGGCATTCGTTAAAGCTTTCTCGTACCGAGCAATTGCGGGAAGATTTGCAACAGATTTTTGTCGCTCAAGAAATGGGTGTGGAAAGTGATAGTGATGAGGAAGGTGAAAACACGGGAGGTCTCAACTTGTCCACCAAGACCATCCTTGGACACTATGCTAGAGTAAGATCCTAGCTACTCGAATGTGTCCCATTTCCCTTGCATCTGCCTCGTCACGACTGTCGCCGTAGAAGCTACACCAGCCCCCTGGTTGCGGCCAATCTTAGGTACTGACCGTAGCGGCAATTCTCCCCCAGACTCGACTGGTACGAAAAATGCCGATACCAGGTGTAGGCATTAGCAGGGAATCACGCCAGGCTACGAGGTTCTTTCGAAAGCCACGAACTGGTGATATCACAACCGGTTGCCCCTGCACATGGTTGACCACAACCGTTGGCCCCAGCGCTGGATTTCCCACATTCGTGTGAGTTTGTCCTAGTGATGGGCCATGTGTAGGCCAAGATGATACCCTGCATACGAACGCGTCCAAGCCCGCAAATTACTAGTAGATCTATGAAGAAGATACTCTTTATAAACATGTAGAAAATGATTCATCCAACCTTTTGTTCGTTGTATGAATCGAATCGGGGACGGCGCACAAACTCGCGCATCCTGCACTCCAAAAACCAATCCGGCAACCCCCACCACAGCATTCAAGAACACGTGAATCGAAAGCAGCCACTGATTAAACAAACAATCCAACCAAACGTCCCCCCCAAAAAGCAAACCGGCGAGGCCATGCTCCTTGATTCCATAATTGCCTGGAAAATGAAGCGAACCAGGACGACGCGGAAACCAAGGAGCACACCGTAGCCATTTCTCAGTCGCACTGAAATCAAACGAGAAAAAAGTGCAACGTCATTCATGCCAGATTTGCGTTGTTGGGTAGATAATAAATAACGAAAGAAGCATCCATTGAATTGTTCGTTTTGTGCTGTTTCGTCTCATCAATAAACCCCAGCAAATCCTGTAGATTATTGATTCATGGCACACCATGTTCTTGTTCCATGTTGGTGGGACAACCAAAATGGCATTTCTCGGCAACACGCACCACCACCAATGTACTAGCTACAGTTCGTCCTTACCACCTCCTTCCTTGGCCGCCATGGCAGCTCGTACGGCCTTCATGAGTCCCAATCCAGATTTCTTGATGGCCTCCTTTTCTTCTTGATTTTTTTCCATCATTTCTTCGTACGACTTTTGTAATCCCTCAATGAATTGTTCAAAATCGGAATCAATTTTCGCCAATGCCTCTTCCTTCTCCTCGATTTGCTCTTCCAAATCTTCCACCTTCATGGCCATGTACTTGGCAATTTCCGCCTTTTTCTCGTCATCGCAGAGGTCGATATTGGCGGGCGAACACTGTGGTTTGAGGTTCTCGTCGGCAAATGCCAGGAGCGACGCATAGTCGCGACCACCTTCGTAGTCTTGCAGATCGGCCGGATCTCCCCATTTGAGAGTAGGGAATCCTTCAATGCCGTGCTGTTCGCAGAGATCTTCTCCGTCTTCGGTACAGTCGACATCGGCAATCAATTGGGAGTCCGAACCGGCAAACTGTTTCGCCAGTTTGTCCCAATCGGGCTTCATTTTAGTGCAGTGGCCTCACCTATCATAAAATTGTAATAGAATATGTAAGTAAGGATACTGACAACACCACGAGACAGACCATGGCACATGCCAAAGACTTACCAAGGCGCGAGGAACTTGATAAAGACTGTCACAACCAAAAGGGCGAGTGTGTCAGACGACGAATGCATCGAATACAAGTCCTACAGTACTACCTTGGCAGGCTACGTACCTGTCTTTCCAGCCGTCAATTCATCATAGTTGTCGGGTGTGAGTTCCACTGCGGCCGAGGAGGCACTAGCCAAGAGGCTGACTAGAAGAAGAGCGCTCAACGTCTTCATGGTTAATCTGGTTTGTTGTCCTTGGACTTGATTTGTGCGTTGTTCTGTTTTGGCTGTGGTTCTGTTCTCGAGCTTGTTCTCGACACCCAGTTTTGACTGGTTGTCACGGCGTCACGGCTTCACAGCCACAAGGATACTTAGGATTATCATCGAAATAATTAGCCATTCAATTTCAAAGCGTCAAGCAGGAAAAGATCTCCCTTTTCCCACGACAACGCTCTCACTTCCGCTTCCTTCTTTCTCGCTCAGTGGTTTGTTAAGTTTTCAATTGTGTCGACCATGAAGACGAAGCTGCTTTGGAATACTCTTGCCCTTTGGGCTTCTGCCAGCACTGTTGTGAATGCGGAGGATGACTATGACGACTTTGGACTCTCGGATTCTAGTGAAGATGATGATTCGGCCGTCGTGAAGCTCACTGAGGCTGACTTTTTCGAAAAGACCGTCAACAAACGCGTCTTTCTCAAGTTTGTAAGAACATGGATAGATGGATGTGTGTGCTCGACTTGTGTCCTATCAGTACATGCCAATTCATTCCCTTTTTTGTGTTTTTTTGTGCGTAGTACGACCCCATGTGAGGACACTGCGTCCTGATGGCAGAAGATTGGGCGTTATTGGCGGACGAAGTGGACGACGAGGACGACGTTTTGATTGGAAAGATTGATTGCACCAAGGAACACTCTAGAAATCTTTGTTTGCAATTTGGTGTCACGAGCTATCCAACACTCAAATACGGAGACATTATCAATCTACAAGACTATCAGGGAGCACGAGACTTGGACGAGTTTCGAGAAGTCGTCGAAGACGACTTAATGGCGGGACCACTCTGTAGTGTGAGCAATCCACAGTTGTGCGAATTTTCCAAACGACAGAGTATTGAGGATTTGATCCATATGGGATTGCCAAAGTTGAACCAGGAAATTGAAAGAGTGGAGAAAACCACTGCCAGATTGGAAGGAGAGAAGGATAAATTCGTCAACAACCTCAGAGACAAATACTCCAAAGGAAATGCAGAAAAGGAAAAAAACAAAAAGGAACTCCAACAAGGTCTGGACTTGATGAAGGCGTGTCTGGTCCTTAAGAAAACGCATCATCAACAACAAAAACCAGCCAAGGACGAGTTATAGCGACGACACAAACAACCTACAATCCAAAATTCAACAACCAAATGGAACAGTGGGTTGTTTGTTTCCGAGACGGCTTTTGCTTGGTCTACTTGGTCAGGATCATGACAGAGCGAAATTGGCAAAACACACAACAATCAGAAAAAAGGGAAAGGGTCGTAATGACGTTGCGAAGGAAGGACATTCTTTCGCAGCCGAAGAAAAAGGTCCACCAGGTGTTCTTTGGGATGTGTGACAAATATCTGCCATCATTTGCAACACTCCCATGAAAACCAACCAACAGGCTCTCTGCGGTCTGTCTGTACCTGCAAATCCTTTCCAATTTTGAAGATTGACTGTTTGCCGCTGCTCTGTTCGATCTAATGAACATTGCCAGGTTCTTTCGATTCACCCATCGGGAGGCCAGCAAAACAACCAACACTACTTGCCTCATTTTAAAACTCTAGAGACTACAGCACTACTTTGTGAAACAAAAATTGATTACTAGTACTCGGACTGTAGTGGTGCTGGCGGCAAACGGAGTTTGGTGCTTGCACCTCGGTTGACTGTCTCGATACCCGAAGAATACCGTACCGGTACGGTACCATATCTGGAGCTGGTGAAGCTGCCGAGAGGTCAGTACCGGTACCTGGTAAGGTGTCTTGATTCTTTCGTTTCGCTGCTTCAAAACTGTTAGCTTATCCGTCTACCGCCTAATTTGTCGTTGATGCAGCTATACTTGTACCGATCCACTTTTACGAGCCGAATTTCACTAATAAGGTGGCTTCCAGCATTCCATGGACGAGATTCCAGCACTGCATGAAGATACGGCAGACAGGAGGAGGACTCGCAGGTCGCACGCTTGCGAAATAACATCTTCTGAATGCCGTGGTAGCCTTGTCTGGCAAATGGATTCAAGATCAACTCTACAGTACAGCTTTAAAAACAGAAACTTTAAGTATACAGTACATGGGAACTAAATCAATCACTAATTTCTACAGCAGACGCAGTGTTCAAGAGGTCATTGAGCTTGCTCCGAGCTTCATCCTTTCCCATTTGCGTCAAGTGCTGGTGCTGACAGCTGCCACTGAGACACGTTCGGAGCCAGCGGATTGCTTCTTTCTTGTTGACAGGGAGCCCTCGTCCTATAGCCAACTTCATTCCAAGCTCATAGGCACCAAAGTCAGAACCTTGAGCGGCAGCCATGGTGATGAACATGATCCCGGTCTTTTGGTCCTTGGGTACGCCTCTTCCGTAGAAATAGGCAAAACCGAGGCACGCCGTTGAGCGAACACACCCAGCCTCGTGAGCTCGTTGATACCACGAGAATGCCTGCTCGAGGTCCTGTTTGAAACCATTGAGACCCTTCTTGTAGTAATATCCTAGATCAAACATAGCCTTCTTGTCGCCACCACGGGCCCGGTCCAGGAGTTGTTGCATCTTCTTGGCTTCATCAACTCGTTTGTTCCAAGAGGCGGCAAGGTCTCCATCAATGACTTGACTCTCAATTAGAGTTTCAATCAAGCTTCGGTGCTGGTGTAGTGGCACAAGCCGTTCCCCAATGGGCTCGTTGGTGACGGGTGATTTGATGGGTTGACCCGCAGATTTTTGCTGTTTCACATACTGTTCAATGGCTACAATAGAATACCAATACAGGGAAAACGTGAGGCAGAGAATCACAGTGAAAATTTGTTCGGTGCCAGACCAACTTACCCGATCGTTCATAGACACGTCCGTCCTCCGCGGTGACAGGTTCCCATGGCAAATCTCGAGTGATGGGACAGATCAAATCATCTGCCGCGGATTTCTTGAAACGCTTGGAAGCGCTATTTCCATTGTTGTTTCCGCCACCACCACTAGTCTCATCTTCGCGCTCTCTCTTGTGTCGGAGGCGTCTTGCGGAGTCTTTCTTGTCGGCTTCTTCCGCTCGTTTGTTCTTCCACAATTTCACAAGGCGATCACGGAGAGCTCCAGATTTTCCGGTAGTGTCCACACCAGCCAAACGACACTCCTTGCGCAGATCATTGTATTTCATGACTTGAATGGCTGATTCGGACGGGAGCTTGCTGGACATCTTGCTGCTGGTCTACTATAGCTAGAGTGTCACTAAAAAGTTGATGGAATCTTTTACTGGTGGAGAAATTTTTTAAAAGTTCCGGTGTGTGTCTTCTGAATTTTAGCTGGTTGCCTGTTTTGAAGATGGGCAATGGCAAGAGCAACGAGGGACGGATGATGCTTGGAAACTCAAGTACTGGCAACAAATGCAGCGACACAATGGAACGAAAACAAGTTAGACTGCTTGCTGCTTGTCTATTACTTTTCCACCGGAACACAAAAGTAAAAACAAAGGCACAACGCCCATGTTTTCCGAAGGTGCCAACAGACTTCGAGCGTGTTGCGTACTTTGGTAGTCGATTGAGTCGAATCGATTCGACTCGATCGAATAAATTCGGCTGGATCTCTGAGCTGAGTCAGAGTCACTGCATGAGGGTTGGGGCTAAGGTGCTTCAAAGCTTGTCGCCAAGTACCGGTACCGGTACCAGGTACCATTCGTACCTGTACCGTACCAGTGGTACCGGTACTCAACAACGAAATTACCACTTGTGATGTCTTTATCCTCCAGTCCCTCCTGATCAGCCATTGTGTAGTTTGGCATGTGGATGAAAGGACCGGACTGTGGGCCTCCCGACATCCCGAAGTCGCCAAAATCCTCCACCACCTCCAAAGTTTCTGATGCAGTGGGAGACCAGGATTCAGCATTTCGACCCGCAAATTTGTACCCTTGTTTTGGGAATCTGTGCTCGTCTTTTGGGTCAGGTCCATAAACGACCTTGTCGGCAATGAAGGTTACCTGTTCATATGCTTGCCCCATGGAGCGCAAGAGATCCAAGCCGAATATGAACCACATGCTGCTTGGCCAGGAGTTCTGAAGAAGCAATTGAATTCCCCCGTCCTCGTTTGGTGTGAGGCGGACGCCGACCATGAGGAGGGAATGGCCGTCATGCGGATGCTTTTTCTTGTCCAGCTCTGTCTTCTCCCAAAACGATCCACTCCATTCCACTTGCCCTGGACGGTCCAACAACTCCTGAAACACCCTGATCCCACCACTGCCGGCCCATAATGGTGGAGCGTATCCCTGAGATCAACGTACAACCGGCCCGGATCGTCCTCGTAAATTTGGTTCCCCAGTTTGGTTTTGATTGTGAGATCATGCTCTAGTTTCCCCACGTTCCACGCTTCGAGAAAGTCGAACAGCGCGTGGCCCGACCAGCACCAAGGAAGATATACGTGAAAGAACGGTCACTGTGAAAGATGTTGCGCACGTACTTGTTGATGTTCACAACGTAGCTTAACTCGAACAATGGGCGCTCAGGCTCAGAAAAGCAGTAGAATACCGCCGAGGAGGGAGCAATCAAGTAGCACAACGAGGAGTTGTCGGCCTGAATTCGGTAGATGCACTTGCTTCTTAAAGCCTCCGTTGAATATAGTCGGGGCTAACTGTGGGTCCTTCCAATGCTGGTAGTTCTCAAGAACAGTCTCGAGCTGCTGCACGTCGTCTTTCAACTCGCTCGTCGACTTTTCTCCTCCTTGTTGCATCACTCGAGCAAGACGGCTTCCAATTGGAGTGCTTGGGTCGAGAGCATGCGTGATCAAGTCAATCTCTGTCTTAACCTCATAATTGGAGGGAATATTTTTCAATATTGTTCCCGAATTAGCCACTAGCAAATCGTCATGGCCCCGGATGTTCAGCCAGACAAGTTTTGCTTGTTGCTGGAACGTCTCCCCAAGCCGGTGAATTCGAATGCACTTGATAGTACTCGTAGACTTGTTGGGCTGCAGCAGGGGTTGGCAACTCCCGCCCAGTTTCGAAGTCTTCTGGTGGAGAGTAACCAGCATTCTTGAACAGTTGCTTGATGGGAGCGGGCGTTTCGAATTTGTAGCTGGTGGACTTGGTAGGTGGCGATTCCCCAACAGTTGACGCGGCGGTATCCACTGTGTTTGTTGCCTCGATCGAGGCGTCTTTACCGGATGGACTGGGCATGGGCATGGTCGGAGCGCTCGAGTAGGAACTGGCTGCTGGCTAGAGATGGGTGCACGGTACGAATGTTGCTCGATTTGTCGGCTCCGTCGCCACGATGGAACGGTACCGGTACGTACCGTACTAGAGCTAGTAGGTGTGTTCGCCAACCACAAGGATCTGAACATCTGAACTGCACGATGGATGTCGTTCCGTTCAGCCAATGAATCGAATCAAATCTCGGATAGAACGCACGACCCCGCGCGCGTCGTTCTCCACGATCTGACTACCTCATGAATAATTCAGCCAATCGATATTAGGATCAATACACAGCCAAAGGGATGGAATGGTTGACTCTCTGAGTTTTGGAGCAGAAAGAGAACGGTAGAAGGCGCATTGGTATGGCACGCTGGAGCCCCTTCCTAGCTTCCAGCCATAAACATCGGAAACGAAAAAGCTACATGGCAGATTGGGGGATTTGACACCGGTAGGCAGTCAAGGCAAAGACAAGCCCTCAAAGGAAACCCAGCTAGCTATAACTAGTGCGTATTTGCTGCCTTGTGCCAGTGTATTGATCATTCAGAAAACCATTCTCTAAAATGTCGTTAGCTGGGGTTTAAGCTCTACGCAGCTAACTCGGATCCCCTTGCGGTTGCTCCTTAGATGGAAGACTGAGTTGCTCTTGCAGTTCCTGAAAGAGATTGGATGGAAACGAGTATCCAACACTCGGCAAAATCATGGACAACCAACTCAACAGGCGGCAGTCGTAGCTGTCAGCATTACCATTGTTTGTACCATTCGTAGTAGATTGCATTTTAAGCAGTGTCTGCAACCGTTCCAAAGTCTGACAGGGATGGAGGAAAAAGGATGGAATCCGAGAAATGGGGTGCTCTTCATGAGACAAAAACTCCCAGGCATCCTCCACGCGGTTGTAGTGGCTGAATGTCGTTAGGATTTGGAGGACGTCCGATCGAGGGCATGGACTAAAATTGTCACTCATGTTTTCCACTGTAAAGTACAAAATTGGAGCTTTCCATGTGTTGCTGTAGACAATGCTGAAATGCCACCGTGTCTCGCATAGTACTGAGGACGATGAATGATCGGAATGGTATCTGGATTTACCGTCAATACCAGTATCAACGGCGATAGGCTCTGCCATGACTTCTGCGTCATCTTGTAGTATTGTGTCATCACAAAAGGCGTCCTCTTTTTCTTCAGGGTGGTCTTCTTCTTCTGTTTCTGTGGTCTCCTGATGGCCCACGCACACAATAATTCGTGTCACAGATGGATGCTTCAGAAAGAAGCCACCATGGTGTCCAACCTTGGCATCCACCTCCAACAGCCAATCCCTTAGAAATTCTTGAGACGCTGAGCTTGACTTCTGCAAACCCTTTAGAGCAGAGACCAGCCTCTGGGCCTCTTCATTGAACTCCTCTTGGCTCCATCCAAGCTGTGTCATGTTGGATTTCGCTATGGGTGAGAATGCGGAAACCGGAAGCACGAAGGGAAAGATTCGACTTCAATCGTGTCATAAACCCGATCTGCTGACTTGACTCGGCTCACCGAACAGCGTAATAAACTAGACTACATGGAGCTAGCTAGATAGCAAGTGTTTGCTTCTGCTGTTGATTTGTTGTCTGGTTACCATACTGTTGCCTCGGTCATGGGTAATACCACCCTCTCTACTGGTAGGGAAGGTTTTGCCTTTCCATAGCTTCCGTACCAGCTGCAAATGGTCTTCATGTGTGGATACTAGTACTGGTACCAGTACTATCAGCAATAAAATGGCCGTCTAATCAACACCGCGGTCCAAAGGGGTTCTTGGTCAGAGATGTTTTGTACTCGTACCGTCCAGGTCCGGCACGGAAACTCATTGTTGCTCTGTCAAGGGGCAACCGACCTGACTAATACGAAGAGATATGGTACCACTTAGCTAGCTAGCTGCTAGCTAGAGCCAGACAACGTGTACGCCTAGCTAGTTGTATCGTCTTACTGGGTTGCACGGCCCTAGGAAGTTCCAGAAAATAATCCAGCACCCAGTGCAGCAGCAACCGCACCATCTATTTGCAATAGCCAGCGAAATGATTGTCTATTTGCAATAGCCAGCGAAAAGATTGTCGTTAAGCCCTTGCCATTTCCTCTAGCTAGCTAGAGATTCATAGCTCTCTTTCACCATCAGAATAATCCAGGAAGGAACACATAAGGAGTCTGCTTTTCATACTTTTCCCACTGCTCCCCGTACTTCTGCTTCATGTGATTCTGAGTTTCAGGGACAATCTGGCAAGCCAAATCATAATCCGGCACAGGGTAGAACAAAACGAAAAACAGGTTGGGAACCATCAGGACATGCGCCATGTCTCGTAGGATGTGCCCAGTGTGATTGATGCCGCGTGCATAGTAGAAGAGACCGCCAGTATGGATCTTTCCCTTGTTGCTGGGGTTGCGCTTGAAAAGCCAACGTTGAATCTCGCTGCCATGCTGCAAAATACCAGCGACAATCATGAGAAAGGCGCACGTATAGTCTCGTGTTGTCAATGGGCCCGTGCGGGTGCCCCAAGAGTTGACCAGCATGCTTCCTACACCGTACCCAAATTCATCACAAAGCAGGTGCTTTAAAGCAACAATAATCCCAAGTGACAGAGTAAGTTCGCCCTGCATGATGAGGACACCAATTGCCCAACGAACAGAGTAAAAGCAATCCAAGAAAAGGTAGAGCGCCTTGCGGTCTTCCGACAGCTCGTGTAGATTGATATACTGGGAAAGCCAATGAAAGACCACGCCGTTGTACATGGCACTGTACATGACAAGAGGAATGCTCAGATGCATGGCAGCCGCTACAACTCGGGACAGCTCCAAGCCTGGAGCTCCTTTAAACTCAGAGCTTCGAAAGAAAAAGGTTGGCATGGTCCTTGTTATGGAATCAAATCAATTCTGGGCTTCTATGGCTGGTGGGTCCATTTTTCATCTTGTTTGCCTCCTTCAACATTCTGTTGTTCCTACGAATTCAAAGTCGGTACTGGCCTATGAAAGAGGTTACCCATGCTGGTCTGTGTTACTTCGTCAACTATTAAAAGTGCCGAGAGAGAGATGAAGCCATGTTGAGGTCGGAGTTGAGGTGTGCGACACGAAACTTGAGTGTTCTTGGACGTCAAGGCTCGCAACGCAATCTTTTCTTTGAAAAGTATCCACGAATGAGAACCGTGATCTTGGGTTTCCAACAGGAACTCGGTCCAACGCAACCCTAGCTAGATATTCAGCTGGGCCGCCTTGGCTTCCTTTTAAAACCTCCCTTCGTATGGTAAGAAATGATGATGATATCAAGATGAGTTTCTTCCGACGATGCCTAGTTCTTCCACAAGTGTCGGTAGCCTTCGTCATGACTGTGTACCTTTCAGGTGTTTGGTGGGTGAACACTCATCTGATGACTTCCCATGGCGATCATCACCAGCTCACTTCCACCACAACAAACCTGACAAGAAAAGTACTCCAATCCAACTTTTGCCCGCAAAATCAACACAAGAAGATGATCCGAATCACGCCATAATCCCCCCGTTGGATGCTGAATTTCCCTTGGAACCAATGCCCCGTCCTCCCTTGGAGTCGATCATTCAGGGTTGGAACATTACAGGGGACGCCTCGTGGCTGTTGAATGTGGCCATTATTGGGTTTCCGAAAACAGGCACTTCCACGTTGATGCGATATCTGCACAAGAGTCCCCGAGTGCATGTCTTTGATGAAGAGCGTTGTGAAATGGGATACAATCAACATGCGCGTCTCATGGAGAGTTTGTACAAGGATATCCCCCCGGGGCATACGCTACGAGGGATCAAGTGCCCAAGAGATTTGGAATCCAATTTGGCACTGCACAATTATCAAACCTATTTTCCAAAGACCGACTTTTTGGTGGGTCTACGACATCCTGTATTGTGGTTTGAATCATTTTACAATTTCAGAGTCAACAATTACTTTTCCATGCCACCCGCTGAAACCCTGACCGGACGATGTGCCCGACGACATCAAGGATTGTGTACCTTTCGAGGCAATTTTCACTTGTTCCTCACCAATCTGGGAAAAACCAATATACTCTCCAATTCAGCAGAAAAGGCACTGATTCCACCCGAATATCACAAAATGATTCAACCGATTCCCTGGCAAGGACGCGTCTTTTTGTGGGATGTTTCGCAACTCCAAACCGATCAAGAATTGCTCCAAAACAACAACCATTCATCCTTATTATTACACCTGCACCAACACCAACACAGCAATCTCCAATTCCGACATGACTTGCAAAAATTTCTACGACTGGACGATTCACTTCCCGAAATGATCAAAATCAAACCAGGATTTCATCATCGCAAGAATCAAACGGTCGCCCAACAAGTGGCGGCACAAAAAATCGATATTTGCCAACCACGATATGAGTCCATTCGCCAGATACTTGTGAGACAGGGAAAACTGGCAGCCACGTGGATTCGGGAGTACTTTTTGGAGGCACCGGGAGTGTACGTGTCGCAAAAGGAGTACTTCTGTCAAGTCATTTTGAAACAATGGGAACAGGATCCTTGTGAATTCCGGAATTTCTGAGTACACACAGCCCTACCGTACCGTAGTTCCATCTCTAGATTCCAAGCAGCCAGCGAACTGATTGGTGTATTGTTGTTATATGAATCAATCTATTCAGGTATTGCAACAGTTTTCGTCATCTGAGCTGAATTATTATGTACAGTATCTGAACTTTGTCACACAACAATTCTCTATCACACAACACAACACAACACAACACAACTGGCAAGGTGTCTTTTTCCTGGTAACAGAAAGCACCCTGCTTTTGAAATATTTGAGGCAGTGGTACCGGTAATGTACTACTTTTCCACAGCTTACAAGCTACCAGTATCTGCTTGAGGCTTGATACGGTATCACACATGAATTTGGCTGCGGGTGGGTGGCGCGCCTCTAGCTATTAAGCATTGTCATCATCATCTGTCTCTCCCATTTGCAATATTATGTCGCCTCGCTTTCTTCAAGCTCCCCGGGTTTGAAGTCCGAACACTGCATGGCCAGCAGCTACTAGAGCACGTACATTGGCGGTACAGTATCTTTCATGCGTCCTGCATGGTCAGCATCACCATATATCCGCTACTCGGTATCCTTCTGGGAATGGATCCTCGGGATCTAACACCACTTGTGAATACTGCGTAATATAAGCCGATCCTTCCACTTGAGGAATAATGGCAGGTCGATGATCCTCCTCGCTGCTGACTGTGGTGCCCTGGACAATGGTCCCCACAAATTGTGTCCCCACAATGCTCTCGTGCACAAACGGTTCTCCTACTTGTAGTTCTCCTCTGGCATGCAGGACCGCCATGACGGCACACGTGCCTGTCCCACACGGACTACGATCCAACATGGCCGTCCAGGTTTCCGGTTTGTCCCAGTCGAGTACCGTGTTGCTCATGACGACCGTGTTGCGTGCTATTGTAGTAGTTGGAGTTTCTCGAAAGACCAAAATGTCGACTCCGGGATAATCCACGGTCGGATGCTGGACGGGATGTTGCTCTCGGCATGCCACCTTGATCATTTCACCGACCCGGCACAGTTCGGCCGCATTGTCCGGATGCAATTTTAAATGCTTCAAAGAAGCATTATTGGATAGATTGACCACGGCATACCACATGCCACCATAGGCAATATCGCATTGTACGTCCCCCACTCCATGTGGAACTTGGACTGTGACATTGAGCTTTTCGACAAAGGAAGGAGCATTTTGTAACGTAATGGAGGTGACCTTTTGGTCGTGACAGCGTGCAGTAATATTAATGGGTCCTGCCGGTGCTTCCAGTGTGAATTGTGTACTAGGCGATATCATGGGAATGACTCCACATTCGAGGAGTGCCGTGGCGACACAAATGGTATTGTGTCCCGACATGAGTGGATAAATTTTGTTTTGTTCTCCAATGACGTATTGGTAATTGTTGCCATTATTGCTTGGAGCAAAGACAAAATTGACGTTTTGACAAGGATATCCGCGTGGTTCGAGGAGCAGAAGTTTGCGGAAATGATCGAGATGTTCCATCATGTAGTTTCGTTTTTGCAAGGCCGTTTCGTACTGAGGAGGAATGCTGTTGACACCGGAAAGGACCACTCGAGCGGGTTCTCCACCGGCATGACAGTCGATGCAGTGGAGTATCGTCTTGTTGCCATGTTGTTGAAAGAGACGGGAAGGTAAGGAAAAGCTAATACCGGTACTGTTTGTTTCCTCCTGATTAGTAGAGTCCTCGTCGACTGTCATCTTGCTACTACAAGATGCTCTGAATTCTGAATGGTGGCCATGAGAGAGGGCAGAGCAACAAGACGAAGAGGGGTGGAGAAAGCTGTGGAAGAGCAAAGATCCAAAGATCCAAGAATCCGGGATTGATCTTTTGTTTGAGTCTTGTCGGGGATCTTTCGCTCTTGAAGGCCTCGTCGATCACTGGGTTGCACTGAACCTTGTCTAGTTGTGGGAGATGTCGACCATGATGATTGATGATCGGAAGTGCTTTTCTCTTGCTTGAGCAGCCCTTTGACAGCATGGCATCTCAACCAGTAAGACTCACCAGCAACCAGATCGTCAAGGGGGAGACTTGAGCAAGGACTGCTCATAAAACCAGAAACTCCAAATCCACCGAACAAACAACTGCTAAAACAAAAACATGCCCAACACCAGCAACAAGAAAGAATCTGCTCAATTGGTCCACGAAAAGTCGTTTCTGTCTCGCGAGAAAGCCGACCACTACTACGCTCGATTGGAATCGGAATTGCCGTGGGGTCCCTTCTCGTGGGTCCCTGGTACCAAACCTCTAAAGCAACTCGTCTACTTTTACGACGTTCAAGAACAGCATGTCCGTCCCAACGCTTGTCTGGACGAACTCATCCAATTGGTGGAAACCACGTACCATACCAAATCCATCGTGACTTGGTGCAACCTCTTTCGCGATTCCAACGATCTCATTGATTGGCATCAAGATCAATACGGCATGTCCCTCTATGTACTTTCTTTTGGCGCCTCGAGGCCCGTCGAAATTCGGCCCTACAATTGGAGTGCTCTTCTGACATCGGATGGAAGTCCAACACAAACCTTGTCGTTACAACATGGAGATCTCTATCATTGGAACCTTGTCGTTGGCACATGGAGATCTCTATCATTGGAACAAACAATTCGATGCCAACCACCAACATCGTGTGCCTGCCGGTGAAGAAGGCAAGCGCATCTCCATTCTCGTCTTGGGACATCCCATTGGCTCCCATGCCAATCCCGACAAACTGCAAACCGATACCATGAGTCCAGTCTACACCGGTCAATGCAATAAAAACAATTGTCAAGGATTCTTGGGACCCGCCAAGGCCACCATGACCAATGCCGAACGCAAATGTCAAACATGTGGAAACAAGTATCGATATGATTCCTGGTAACATCGATATAGTTACTGTACTATAAGCTAGTAGTCTGTAATAATGATCCAACAACAAAGAACCAACTGCTGTCCGAGGAGAGCCTGCATCAATAATAAAGCAGCTAGCAATACAATGAGGACTGGCAACAAGTTCCCATGATGTCATGCTCGAGTCGAGTCTGTGTGTGTGTGAATTGTTTCTGAGTTTCGGTCAATTGTTGATGGGGTGCTTCAGGCAAGGGCATCATGCAGCACGTTCCATTAGTAATAGTGTCATTCCACCGTCTCTCATCATGTTTTTAGTTCGGGTCCCCACCCTGGCACTATCATCTCGGTTGTGACGGCAGAAACCCCGACGCCCAACTATCGTAGACCCGTGTGGTCTTGCCCGACAAGGCAGCTTCCAAGGCATCTCGCACATCCCCATAGCGTATCCGATCCAACCACTGGTCAAATGCCAGTGTGGCTTCTCGCAGCAACGATATTAGTTCCTCCCTGTCAATATTGTTGTTGTTGTCAGAAGCATAATAGAGTTCAGCAGCAGCATCCTCCACTTTGAGTTCTACCTGGTTCCGATAGAGATATCGCAAATCCAAATCCGCTCCAATCACCTTTTGAATGTCGGGCAAACCATCATTGGCTCGAATGTAGGATTTCTTCCACGTGGGATCCGTAACCGTATAGGCAGCATCATCCCTTGCTGTTTGTAGTAATAACTTGTCGTAGTTGAGATTGGTAGTATACAGATTCATGCAGGCTCGAATCAAATCGCCTCGAAGCACTTTGGCAGGATTGTATTGCTGTAAGACTCGCACATCTTGGCTGGTGCCCCTCTTGGAGGATTGGTCATCCAGAGGTGGCAAAATGGTTTGGAGCTTTTCGAATTGTTGTTGTGAGGATGATTGAGCCAGTTCCAAGGCCGCTTGCAACAAGAGTCGTTGTTGAATGGCTGGCAGTAAGGCTCCTATAGGGGCTGTGGGCTTTTCACGAAGAACCATGCGTTGTTCTCCTTCTCCAATGGCTCTCGCTTCTTGGTGGAAAGGAGGTAGCAGTAGTGTCATCGTCGTCGCTGTCGTCGTCGCTGTCGTCGCCAGGTGCCAAAACACATCTCGTCGGTTCCACTTCTTGGACATAATACTGGTAGTAGTGTCCACTTTGGGGTTTGTTGTGGTGGAAGAAGAAAGGCCCACCGATGTCTCCCACAGGACGAGCAGCACGACCACAGCTAATGGACTCCGCATGATGAGATGCTAAAGACAAAGTACCATACATGTATGACGGTTCGAGAAGGATTTTTGTCTCGATGTCTTCGAAGTCCTCTCGGATCAGAGTGTACCGGTACCTTCAACTTGAGGCGTGTGAAGGCACGGCGAAGCATGGGTGATGGGGGGAATGGAGTGACGTCAGAGGATGCAATGCGAGAGAGATGATGACAAAAGGGTCACAAATCAAACCTCGACACAACTCGCACCAAAACACACCGTCCCGAATCACCTTCCAACATGACAATCGGATCTCTTGCTCTATTTTCCCTTTTTGCCACCACCTTGACAAATAATGCACAAACCATCGAAACAGGCGACGTACTGGAAGGCCACCCTGTCATTAGTCGCCTCGATACATCATCTCTACAAGATGGAGACTACCGCTTTTGGTTTCGTGGAGCGGAGAATGCATGTACGGACACATTCAAGTGACTCGACTGTCACTCGTTCTTTTGCAGGCTAGCTAGCTATCAAGTAGCTGTCATCCCCAAACAAATAAATTCACTGACTCCCTCTCTCTTTGACAACACTCCCATTCATGGCAGTTGGCGGATTCTACGACATTCCCGTCCTTTAAAAAAAAAGCGGAGACGGTCCAATCATCTTTCTTCAATCGTCCATCCATCCATGGAGATGAGCTCGCAGGTGCCAAAGTCATCTTTGAGCTATTTATTCAAAGACCTGGAACAAAAACCATGGACATGGATGGAACGGTTGTCGCCATTCAAGCTTAGGTGCCAATCCAGCCGGCATTCGACTCCATTCCAGAAACTTTAACCAGACTGTATCTGGTGGCTCCTGCATGGACAAACCTGAACCGATTAAAAATGCCTGCAGCACAAACGTCCTCAGATTCTGGGGCTCGCCTTTGCTACTCCCTCTGGAATGATCTTTACATGCCCTCCAAGCCAGACTTTTTCTTTGACTTGACTTGCACACGATTGCAACGGGTGCCAGCTTTCCCTATTTCATCTATTCCGATCGCAGAAATCAGCTTGTGGATGACATTATGAAAATCATGCCTGCCGATATCATCAAGGATCATTTGGGAGAGGATGGAACAGTCGAAATGGAAATGCTCAAGGTTGGAATTCCTGCCGTGACGATGGAACTAGGCTCCGCCAAGGAGTGGAACCGAGACATTAATACTATGCGAGGTGTCCAACAAGGGATCAAAAATGCCATGTCCCACCTGGGCATGTGGGAAGGTGGAATTGATATGCTTGGGATTGAGACGTACAGTTGCAATTCTTTCACCAACATTCGCGCCAATCGTGGCGGCTACACGGAAACACTCGTGGAGCTGGAACATGATGTCAGTGTTGGCGATGTCGTGGGCTACATGTACGATGCATGCATTTGGCGGAGTTCGTGAAACCTATACTGCTCCAGTTGCTGGCCGTGTCACCTCCCTTGCAACCGACCCCATTCGTGAACCGGGATCCATGATTGTAAGGCTTTGCTACCAAGTGGAACCAGAGGCTGATGATGAAGTTTCCATTGCCAACGCGAAGGCATTGCGTGGAATTCGCGGTGGAACCGAATAGGCCCAGAAGCAAGCAAGTTGCACCGGTACGAAGTAAGATGGGGAAGATCATCAACTAGAGGTGGTAACTTAAAAACTGATAGAATTTCTTGACCTCCTTTTGGATGGCAATGCTGGGTGAATGTATAAAAGGTAGCCAGATTAAATTTTGTGGCAATCGTGCACAGACCAATATGCAAAATGAAGAATTCAAACATGGATGAGTGGCTCATTTCCTCACAAGGCTCACTTGATTCAACACTGGCAGCCAGGAGCATCAGTGTATCTTGGAACAGCATCAACACAATAACTAGGAACATCAGACATCTTCGGGCCGACAAAAAAGGTTTCATTAATCCAGCAAAGTGGAACCCCTGGAACCTGGACGTCATCAATCTTGTTCTGGGTTACATTGAAAACACCTAGGACGGAAGCAGTTGAGTTGATCAGCTCCCGAACCTCCTCTGGAAGGGTCCCACTAAACTGATTCTGTTGAGCAAGGAAGACTTTCAGCTGTTGCAAGGAGCCAATTTCAGAAGGAATCTGGCCTGTGAGGCGATTGCCTTGGATCTCCAATCTTTTCAGTGGCTGTATCTGTCCTAGTTCTGAGGGCAATTTCCCAGTGAACTGGCCCCCATGCAAGCTCAGGACCATCAACCCTGGAAGATTACCCAACTCGGATGGAATCTTCAGGAAGAAAAAGTAACCAGAAAGAAATGTTGTGTGAGCAAGCTTGCAGCTACAACATCAAAGTCACATTCTTTTAGCCCTACCACCCCGGTCAAGAATAAATCATTAAGGAGAGTTAGCATCAAGGACGAGAGGAGCCCAAATTCCGTTGGTAGCGATCCAGTTAGGAAGTTTGAACCCATATACATCGTCCTGAGGAGGTTCAAATTGGCAATGGCTTCAGGTATATTACCTGTAAGCTTGTTGTCTTGTAGGATTAGGCTTGTAAGAGCATTCAAGTTCCCGATTTCAGAAGGAATCTGCAAGAGAGAACAAACAGGGAATAGGTTTAGTAAGGAGGTCACCCTATCATATTCAATGAGCATAGCATTGTGTTTGCTAGCTTGGGGCACCTTCATGATACTTACAGTTCCTTTGAGCGCATCGTTGTTGACTGGAAATGCTCCCAAAGATGCAAGCTGTCCAATCTCGGTAGGAATGGTGCCAGAGAGAGAATTTGATCCCAAATAGAGCGTTTCCAATTTGCTAAGCCTGGAGATCTGATGAGGTAATGTTCCTGAAAGCTGATTCCCATCAATGAGCAGGATCTCCAGGTTTGTCAGCATCCCAATCTCCACAGGGAATGATCCTGCAAGTCGGTTTCTGTCCATGATTGCAAATGCTAGATTGCTTAGCATGCCAATCTCACTTGGCAAAGAGCCAGTGAGAGGCAGCATGCTAATAATGGCTGCCTGCAAGTCCTGAAGATTTCCAATCTGTGGAGGTAAGGTGCCACCAATGGGGCTCCCAAAGAAGCTCATGGTCTTCAAGGATGTCAGCAAGAACATTTCTTTTGGAAAATGGCCCGTCAAATTGTTCCTGTGCAGCCAAAGCTGCTTGTATGCATCATACTCTACATCAGCATCTTGTATGCCATCACTGCCTTGTTTGTCATGATGAATAGCTGTGGTGTTGGATAGCTGACATGGGTTTGGATGCTCAACGGCAAAGTACTGAGATCCACTCCGCAGGGGTATGGCAACGGAATTACTTCCATACCAGGTGCATTCATGATGAACGTGTGACAACCAGTTGTCATTTTTGGTCCAGTAGGGACCTCCAGTTGAATAGTATAGTGTTGCCAATGCAAACCTTTGGAGAACTCTCCATTCTTGCTCAACATAGTAGCTGGTGAGGCTGAGATCTTCCAAAAGCCATGTGAACGCTTTCGACTGTGGAGACTCTAGCTCGTCAAGTGCACCAATCATGTAATCAGGCAAGATCCCAAAAACGTATCCCTGCAGAAATGATGTTGGTGAAAAAGATGGAGCTGTGGGGTTGACCTGTGAGGGAGACACAGTCCATGTAGCTTCTGCATCTGCTTTTTGACTCTGTGACACAATCACTACAAGCACAATGATCCCAACAGCAAACACACCAATTCCTAGTAGAAACATAGTTGGTTCAGTGGCTCTTTCATTTGTTCTATCAACGGCAGGCTCATGATGCTCATCTGCGTGCGGCAAGTCTTCAGTACTTTCCACAGGATTTGCCACTGCCAGGCCTTGAAGGCTATCTTGGACATTGTTTGTGGGAGCGTGCTCTGGCATCAAGGCTTCCATATCTCTCTCCAGTTCTTGATTGCCAGAAGGAGCCGGCGCCACAGCATAAGCACCGGGTACTTGATAGTCGTCTTCTGGTCCAGGGACGTCACCATCAGCAGGTGGCGGAGGAACGGCATTCACTGCTTCACACAAAGCAATGTCTATCCCTTCTGCTGAACGACGTCGCTGGATACCAGCAGGGTTCAATCCGTCTCCTTTCTTCTGGGAATCAATCTCTCCTGACTGTCCTTCTGAAAGGGTTCCGCCAGTAGTCTTTCCCTTCTTGTCGTCATCCATAATCTTCTCGTTTCCCGCAGCACCAACAACATGAATTGCTCCGGGCAATTCCATTTCTTGGCCTTGAGCTGAGTACATTTTCAAGATACCGGTAGCTTCCAGCACCGAATAGCCATCGTCACTTTGGACTTCCTCTTCGGGCTGCCTCTCTATCGATCTCTTTTCGGTTTCGCTCCCCAATGGAGGAGCAACAACAGGGTTGGCAATGTCCCGACCTTCAGCTGTGTACTGCTTCACAATGGCATCCAATATCTCTCTGTTTAAATTATCGCAAGTGCTCTCGTCCTCAGCTGTGCCCTGATCAGTGCTGTTGCTGTTGAGGGTATCATCGTCTTGCTGGTTGGCTTTTGTTATTTTGGGATTACCTTTAAACTGTTGTACTAGCTAGCTAGTATTTCGCAGAAGAAACTATTAGGACTACAAGCAAAAGTGCTAATTCGCGAGGACGAAAGCAACAGAGATTGCTCTTTGGGCTGTGCACGTTGCACGAAGCAGCTCACGAAGTAATAGGTAAGGAGCTTTTGTGGATGGGCGGTTCCCGAACCAGCTGTGTTCGCAATCGTGCAATGAGCAATGAGGCAGCAAAATTAATGCTCCTTTTGACCATTTCGATGGGAAGCTGAGCAAGGACAGCTGCAAGGACTTATAAGAGCATTTTCTACCGTTCCATCAAATTTCGTTTAAATTTGGTCATTTAAACTAAGTCCAAACGAAATTTGATCATATGTATTCTCTATCACTGTTGTAGAAATGATGTAGAAATTCCGTTTGGATCAAATTTAAACCAAATGAAATATTTCGTTTGGATTGCCCTCATCAAAACGAAAAATTCTCTCCGTCCAGACGTGGTTGTGACCGAAATAACCAGTCAGGATTTAAAGGGTCGGTGAGTCCAATGAGTCAACCAACCGAGTCCATTGAGTCAATCTAAACCAAGAACAAACCAGAACAATAGAGAATGTCTTGGTGACATCTCTTGTACTCTGGGCAAAAATCAAAACGGAATAAGATGCTGCAGATCTAAACGAGCGGTAGAGGCTGCTCTTAAAAGTCGACAATCCAAGAGAATCACTCCATCAAGACTGACTGAGAAAAGGTGAAGAGCTCGTATCCAGGCTTTAACAACACATTTCAAGACCACAGTGGATCGATTACGTATTTAATTCATTCGATTCCAAAAGCCAATGGGGGGATTGTTGAAGGGGAAGAACAGATGCCAACTGGTTCATCAATAATTATTTACTTATGAAGCGAAGTTTTGAACACTGCGTGAGTACACTATACACTATACTGAGTACTGAGTGCACTCCTCTGGAGAACAACTTATTTCACCGCTAGTCCAGTTCATGTGATATTACTGGATCTTGAACCTCACTATCAGTACAGTACTCTCACTAGGTCGAGAGCTGTCGCTGCCAGCTGCAAGCTCCAGGAAGACAGGAAGGAATTGTCTTCACGAGAGCTCTTCGTGCATTCCCACCAACCACCAACCACAGCTCCAACCACCAAGACCGAAGAGGAGGCGGCTGAGAGTAGAACGGCGGAATTGATAGACGAAACGAGGTACACTGTAGCTACTACAAAGTACAACACAGTGCATCAGAACAATGACAGTGTTCGGCCCATTGTGGCCTGAGCCTGGAGCATGACTGCTTTCAGCTTTCTTGACTGTGTGTACTCGGAGTTACTTTTTTGGAATCGTTGGTTCACGTCCCCATCCATCTGCATACCCATACTCGAGTACTCCTAGTAGCCAGTGAGTACAGCTTGAGTTCCTTGTTGGATGACGTTGGATCCCAAAGGAGGCTATCGCATATCGCGTAGCAAAACTGGAATGGATCAGGATCTGTGTCTTTGTCTTTGTCATCCTTATCCCATGCAAAGACACCCGGCTGGGCTGCAAAGGCCTGGCTCGCTGGTTGCTTCGATGGTGCGAAAGGACGGTGCAAAAAGTGGATCGATTATACTATTGATTCGGTTCTTTGCACTGCAAGATGTACTACCATAGAGTACGGTAGTACCGTAGTATCTCCAGCACAGCCTGAAGTGCCTTCGTCATTTGATTTCCCTCCATCCAGGCAGTAGTCAAGGCCAGCGCTGTCATTGCCATGGGTAGATTGGTAGCACCGAAGCACTGAAGCTTGACAGCCATCACGAGCTGTCTACTGGCACCACAAACGCCAAGCAAAACCCCACTCATTCATCCACAGGGAAAACTGATTTCACTTGTTAATCACAACATTCCCTCCCAACAAATCCATCCAAGAAGCAAAACTGGCTCACACTCGTTGTTACCCAAGCTTGCTCCCGCTCAAAGCGCTACCATAGGACTAGGGGGGTTTTAGAGTAGGGAAATTATCTACGGAAGCCAGCCGGGGCCAGGACTGATTAGTAGCTATCAATGCGCGAAAGTATATTGGAGTAGACACTATCCACAAAGGCGATCGAACGCTCGAGAAGGACTTGACAATGGAATTTTCTCGGCCGTCGCTCAGCACCAAGAGAAGTTTTCTCTTCTGTTCTGATACTGCAGACAACTGGTTGGTGACTTGCTCTTCAAAACTTGCCAGCTTGACTGTTATGGGCCTAGCTAGAAAAGAAAACCTTCCCAAGCTGGATGAAGATGGCTTTCAGTTCTGTTGTCTGTGGTACCGTAGACGCAAAACTTACGGTAGGATTGATACCGGTAGAGGTGCGAGTTCCACTCGTCCGTTCTACTAGTATCAAATCGCATCCCCACGCAAATGACACGCACACTGCGAACAAAGAAGGATTCATCGCTTCGCTCCTCCTGTTGTAGTGGTGGTGGCACTCGCTCCCTCCCTCCACGCTCAGTCAAAGCACACTCTGATGAGCTAAAAGCTTAGAAGAACCACGACAATGATACAAGTGAAGGAAGGGTAACAACTAGAGCAACAAGCATGCATCACGGTGATGAAGGATTGCTGTACCGCTACGGCATTATTGCCGAGCTTTCAGCCCACGGTGCAAGTGGCCCCTAAATCTCCGTACCACAACAACGCTAAACTAAATGTATGTCAGCGGCCCCGCACTTGCCATCCGCCTCTCACAATAGGGAACAAGCAAACAGCAACTGCACTGGCACCTCAGAACAAGCAAACAGCAAAAACTGCACTGACTTGGGCTCTAGCCAGCTAGTTAGCCAGGGTGAAGCATAAGTCTTTGCACGTGATCTACATCCATTGGAGTTCACTCACAGTGTGGTCGCATCATCGATTTCCAATACATTTTTCTACAGTAGGGTGGCCAAGTTGCCCCCAAACCCGATCCAAGTGGCTCCAAGGAGACAAAACACGGATGAGTGGATCATTTATTTCCTCCCAAGGCTCGATTGATTCGATTCAACACTGGCAGCCAGGAGCATCAGTGTATCTTGGAACAGCATCAACACAATAACTTGGAACATCAGACATCTTGGGGCCAACAAAATAGGTTTCATTAATCCAGCAAAGTGGAACCCCTGGAACCTGGACGTCATCAAACTTGTTTTGGGTTGCATTGAAGACACCTAGGACGGAAGCAGTTGAGTTGATCAGCTCCCGAACCTCCTCTGGAAGGGTCCCACTAAACTGATTCTGTTGAGCAAGGAAGACTTTCAGCTGTTGCAAGGCGCCAATTTCAGAAGGAATCTGGCCTGTGAGACGATTGCCTTGGACCTCCAACTTTTTGAGTGGCTGTATCTGTCCTAGTTCTGAGGGCAATTTCCCAGTGAACTGACCCCCATACAAACTCAGGACCATCAACCCTGGAAGATTGCCGAACTCAGAGGGAATCTATAGTAAAAATGTGACCGGAAAGATTTGTTGTGTGAGCAAGCTTGCAGCTACACCATAAAATGTCACATTCTTTAGCCCTACCACCCCAGTCAAGAACACCTCATTCAGGCGCATTTTTGTCAAGGAGAAAAGGAGCCCAAATTCCGTTGGTAGTGATCCAGTTAGGAAGTTTGAACCCATATACATCGTCCTGAGGAGGTTCAAATTGGCAATGGCTTCAGGTATATTACCTGTAAGCTTGTTGTCTTGTAGGATTAGGCTTGTAAGAGCATTCAAGTTCCCGATTTCAGAGGGAATCTGCAAGAGAACAAACAAGCAATATTCTTAGTAAGGAGGTCCACCATATAATATTCAAGGAGCATGGCATTGTGTTTGGTAGCACCTTCATGATACTTACAGTTCCTGTGAGGGCATTGTTGTTGACTGGAAATGCTCCCAAAGATGTGAGCTGTCCTATTTCCGTTGGAATGGTGTCAGAGAGAGAATTTGACCCCAAATAGAGCGTTTCCAATTTGCTAAGCCTGGAGATCTGATGAGGCAATGTTCCTGAGATTTGATTCCCATCAATGATCAGGAACTCCAGGTTTGTCAGCATCCCAATCTCCACAGGGAATGATCCTGTAAGTCGGTTTCTGTCCATGATTGCAAATGCTAGATTGCTTAGCATGCCAATCTCACTTGGCAAAGAGCCAGTGAGAGGCAGCATGCTAATAATGACTGCCTGCAAGTCCTGAAGATTTCCAATCTGTGGAGGTAAGGTGCCGCCAATCGGGCTCCCAAAGAAGCTCATGGTCTTCAAGGATGTCAGCAAGAACATTTCTTTTGGAAATTGACCCGTCAAATTGTTTCTGTGCAGCCAAAGCTGCTGGTATGCATCCTTCTCTATATAAGCATCTTGCATGACATTGCCTTGTGGGTCATGGTGAATGGCTGTGGAGTTCAATAGTTGACATGGGTTTGGATGCTCAACAGCAAAGTACTGAGATCCAGTCCCAATGGGTAAGGCATTGGGTAGGGGATCACTTCCGTACCAGGTGCATTCATGATCAACGTGTGACAACCAGTTGTCATTTTTGGTCCAGTAGGGACCACCAGTTGAATAGTATAGTGTTGCCAATGCAAACCTTTGGAGAACTCTCCATTCTTGCTCAACATAGTAGCTGGTTAGGCTGAGATCTTCCAAAAGCCATGTGAACGCTTTCGACTGTGGAGACTCTAGCTCGTCAAGTGCACCAATCGTGTAATCAGGCAAGATCCCAAAAACGTATCCCTGCAGAAACGATGTTGGTGAAAAAGATGGAGCTGTGGGGTTGACCTGCGAGGGAGACACAGTCAATGTAGCTTCTGCATCTGCTTTTCGACTCTGTGATACAATCACTGCAAGCACAATGATTCCAACAACAAACACACCAATTCCAAGTAGAAACATAGTCCGTTCAGTGGCTCTTTCGCTCGTTCTATCAATGGCAGGTTCATGATGCTCATCTGCGTGCGGCAAGTCTTCAGTACTTTCCACAGGATTTGCCACTGCCAGGCCTTCATTGCTATCTTGGACATTGTTTGTGGGGGCATGTTCTGGCATCAAGGCTTCCATATCTCTCTCCAGTTCTTGATTGCCAGAAGGAGCCGGCGCCACAGCATAAGCACCGGGTACTTGATAGTCGTCTTCGTCATTTGGTCCAGGGACTTCACCATCAGCAGGTGGTGGAGGAACGACATTTGCTGCTTCACACAAAGCAGCATCTATCCCTTCTGCTGAATGATGTCGCTGGATACCAGCAGGGTTCAATCTGTCTCCTTTCTTCTGGGGATCAATTTCTCCTGACTGTCCTTCTGAAAGGGTTCTGCCAGTAGTCGTTCCCATTTCTTGGCCTTGAGCTGAGTACAGGTTCCCGATATCCGTAGTTTCACTTTGGACTTCCTCTTCGGACTGCCCTTGTATCGATGTCTTCTCGGTTTCCCTTCCCAATGGAGGAGCAACAATAGGGTTGGCAATGTCCCTGCCTTCAGCTGCGTACTGTTTCACAATGGCATCCAATATCTCTCTGTTTTCAGTATCGGAAATGCTCTCGCCCTCGGCTGTGCCCTGGCCCGCGCTGTTGTGGGTGTCATCATCTTGCTGGTTGCCTTTCGTCATTTTGGCGTTGCCTTTCAACCAGCTAGTAGTATTTGGGAGAAGAAATTATGAGGACTAGTAGAAGGAATGAGAAAAAACACAACCACAAAAGCAGCAGAGATTGATGGTCGCAGCACAGGCTCTGGTGCCAAAGATATGCAGGAAGCAATGAAGCAATAGATAGATGCAAGAAGCGGTGAAGTACGGAGTGAGAATAGGATCAGGTGGAATTAGCGAGCATGTGAATGCTCAGCACAATCGAACGACGAGTGACGTTCCAAGGGTTCTGAAGAAGATTCGATTCGTCCAGACGATCCATTGTTTCTGTGGGTTCATCCTTGTAGAAGCAGGAAGCAATAGCTGAAGCAATACATGTAATACATGCAAGAAGCTGAAAGCGTTACAGTTCCTCCCACGACTCAGAGTATCCGTGAGTAGATTGAGTCATGTTTTATGAGTCAACACGATGGAACAGAGAACGCTGGCAAGAACACGTTCTCAACGAAACAAAACGCATCCTCGCTCTTGATATTTAGCCAGCTTGGTGTACTTCCACGCTATTAGATCCATGCTAGACAAGCCTTCCACGCGTTCCGTTTTTAGGATCGTGGAGAACAGTAGGATTACTACCACAACCTACTCTATTCCAACACTTGTTAGTCTCCCGCGGGAAGCCAGACATCTACGATCCTTCGATGATGATCTCTCTCGTTGATTAGTTTTCATAGGCTGTTCTAATTTCTCTTATAACTTTCATTCTCTCAACTTCAAAACACTCGAAAGATTCTTTACACTAGCTTTTAGCGGCTAGTGCATTTGTTAACAAACACAATAGCTTTCAACTACCCTCAACCTATTCCTTCACCATGAAGATGCCTCAAGGAAAGCCAGCGTTCCGCAACTTCGAGGAACAGTTGCGTGACAAACCCTTTCTTCCTCTCGTCGACAATGACGAAGAACACGATATCGACGATACTCGTTCAACCACTTGCAAACTTCCAAACCATGTTGCCAAGCGCAATCAGAAGACTCTCGCCAATATTACTGCCTCTCTCAATTTCAATCACCGGGGATGGAGTAAATCTATCTGAGTGCGGGGTGTGTATAGTAGTAGACACACGAGATTGTGATTGACATCCAAGAAAATACACTGCATACACACCAGTACGTGTAATTAGTGCTGGCTTGTCTCAACTGCTCGAACTCGAGCTCACATCTCGAGAACTGCAGAGCTGTCTAAATGATAGTCGTTCGGCAATGGGGAGTGATAAATTGGTAATATAACAAGTATATATACACAAGAATTGCCTCCTCTCTCACCGAATAGATAAGATTTTTCATGATTTATAGGAAGGATTTTCCTCTCCATCATAATAGTGCGGGCATTGGAGGATTCCGCTTCGTTGGGTACGTCGAGGAGGTCCACTGTTTCCGTCGTATTGCCCCGAGAGTTTTGTGTTTGGCTGTCATCGGATCCATCAAGAAAATATACGAAGGGTTGCCAATCATGTGTCATCTCTGGGCTCGTGAACAAAATCTCGTGGGAGTATGGACCGTAGGATGAGCGATCAAACTCGTGAACTCGTACCTCACGTGTAGCCGTATTGGTCGACTGTGATAGGACGGGACGCGATATCACCAGGCGAAGACGCTGGCGTTGAATGCTTCTTGTTGCACGCGAGCTGCAGATGGGTCAAGTTGGTCCGTCTTGTTGGATTTGGTTTGGTGCGAGACACTTCTAGGTTGCCTGCTCGTGGCGTGGTGACTGCCCATGTCGAGGAGGTCTGTGAGAGTTGACTGAGCGGTATGGACGTGATTGCCCAGAGATGTGGTGACTACGTCGAACAGCTAGGTCAGCCGTGTAGTCAAAATGCTTTCTTGCCCTGCTCGGCGATTATTATCCATGCCTCTTGTCCGACTTTGGATCACGACCGCATGTGGTTGCGTTCTCATGAGCTTGCGGGACCACGAGTTCTGTCTGATTGAGCTTGCAATAGGACTTCCAGTTATCCATATCATGGACGAATGCCTCATAGGTGTCGCCGCAGGTTTCAGCTGTACCATCGTCGAAGAAAATTACGTGTTGGTAGGTGCGCGACGTGCGTTGCTTCGAGAGCGTATGGACGTCGCATGAATTGCATTGTCATGAAGTTGTGCTTGCTCGAGAAGCGCCGCTCGTTATTGCTCGAGAGTTACTTGGAGGTGTCGCCTGCAGCTGTTTCTTGGTCTGCATTGAAGACGTCGTACGGAGCAGATTTTGGTGCCTTGGGGATTGAGCTGTTCCAAGAAACGTGCCCCATGTTGTTCAGTGTATGGCTCATCGCTGAGTCTCATTGTACTGCCGAAATTGTTCGAGGAAGTTGGATGATGAAACCAGCTTGGGATTCTCTCCATGTGCCTTCCGATATCGGCGGAGTGAGATAACACGAAATCTTATCCGGAGCGCAGTGGTTGCGACCATGGACTTGTGATAATATTCGTCAATTGCTTTCCAGATACGCGCGAGTGTCCTTGCTGGTTTCGTTGCAAGACGACAGATCTTGCTCTGTGCTTTTTGGAAGATGTCCTCGAAAGTCTTGTACATCCATTCTCGTTGTTTCCTCGTCTAGTTCGACGTTGTTGACCGTGAAGCTCAGAATACAACGAGGTGGGAGAGACTTGAAACTTGAGCGTGTTAGGAAAGTTTTCCTCCATATTGATGAAGATGATTCATCGCGAAACTCTCTGAACTCTGATGCGGACGGGCTTATTGTTCTTGTCCCAAAGTGCGATTGCACGTTCCCCATCGGTCATCGTGGCATCGCTGCGTCTCATTTGTTGCCATGGGACGATGTCGCCGTGTGGCTGGAAGAGGTCAACTCTGAAAGCGTCGAGTGCGTCGGCCGTCAGTGTTACGAGCCGGATGGGTGCCTTCCTCCTGGATGACCAATGGTGATACATCTGTTCGCAGCGAGCAGTAGTTTCTTCTGGTGAGAGCTACTGGTCTCGCATTGCCGTTGACCGGTATCGTTGAAGCTTTGGAGATTCATATTTCATCTGTTTGGTGAGTAGTAGGAGATCCATCCATCCGTCGATCCTTGTTTCGACAGTTGCGATGCGCATGTGAGATGCATTATCCCTGTGTGGGTAGCTCTTTCGCCGCATACGGTTAGGACATGCTTGAGCTTGGTGCTTCATCGCCTTGATGAGTGTTGGCAATGCGTAACTGCACTAGTTTAATCTGCTAACGTGAGGAAAATACTACTTGAATAGAGGATCTTGTAGAGTAGCTACCGCCCGACGAGATCAACTGAAAATATTCAAGACGAGTGCAAGGTAAATGCAAAGTTCGCTTCTAGTAATTCATAATCTGTGTTGGGAGCTTTGATTGATGCGATCAGTAAAGTAGTTGTAGCGTGTTGGATCAATAATCGTGGTAGTTGATACGGAAGTCAACGTGGTATCTGCGGGAAACGGTTCGTTGGCAGGATGCTTTACTCCTGTCGAATACTCCAAATTTACCGTGTCC